GAGTCATGCCATTGTCAGCCCTACACTCAATGCTCCACATCCCTGTAAAGCATGGTCAAATGTCTCCTACTGTATGATATTTTTCCAAGTCCCACCTACAGAATTATTCTCTCCTTCCTTGGTCCTCCCATTTAGCATTTTACATTTACTATATGACTTTTCAGGTCCAGTGTGTACTAGGGACAGGCAGTTCTCATCATTTGCATCAGTTATGTTCTATAAAGTCACTATGAACACTTAAACAGCAAATACTGAACCATGCATGACTCCCAGGGAAATGCAGGCTTGGGTCCCTACCAGCCCCTGGTCATGCCATTTTTGTTAACTGATTAATACATTATCTTGTTCTATGTGAAGTTCTGTTAAAGTCACCTTATTTGATGAATATTCTAGATCCATTAACATTGAACTCATGGCCAACAGCACTATATTCATCTCTGAATGAAGCTTATCGGACACGTTTCTTTTCTCTGTAAAGCACGTGACAGCCTTCTTGTGCTCGGGAACATGAGAGGGCACTTTGGCACGATGCTTGGGGGCCACTTTAAAAAATGATATCACCAACAAAAAGCATAAAAATGGGAAAAATGTGGCACTAAATAGTCCATGAAAAAGACGCTTCTTACAGGATGAGGACTGAAACAAGCATCACCTTGTGGACCTCAACTGGGAACAAGTGTTTCAGGAAACAAGTTTTTTGCTGCTCTATGCAAGTTCACAAATGACCTTGAAGGTGGCACAGGAGTTGATTTGGGAGTGACAAATATATCTTAGGGAGTAGGCAAACTTGCAAAAAATGAAATCTGCAAATGGATGGACTATACATGTCCCTCTCATTATATTGTGAGTCTTTTAACAGCATGGATCATTTTTTAATTCCCTTACAGCGTAAAGCTGACTGCTTTGCAGAAAGCAAGGATCGAAACTAGATTATGAGGCATTGAATGTGGCATGCTAATTATACAACTAAATGGAACTATTAAAAATTCCCCTTTCAATAGGCTATTTATGAAATACCTATGAGCCATGACTTTAGCTACATGCTTTTGTAATGATTTTTTTCACTTAACCCTGAGAACAACTTGGTGAAGTTATGAGGTATGTATCATTATCTATATTTTACAGGTGAGTATACTGAGAGAGGTTAAGCAACATTTTTAGAGACAGAGGCTTCAGAGTCATAAGAAACATTTTAGAGATCATATAGCCCAACTTTGCCATTTTGCAGATGAAGAAAAGGAAGGACAGAAAAGTTGAATATTTGCTTGAGGTGCTCACTGATTGTCAAAGCAGGCATGAACAGACTATTATCCTTAAATTTCTCCTAAGTGTCTTTCACTTCACCACACTGACTATTTTACCAGTCATTGGCTTAAAAATTCCTCAGTGATAGGAACAACTAGTGCCGGACTGACCTAAAAATTCCTTTTTGGTCAAATGGTCCATTTGGACCACAGTGAATATGCTATTCAAATAAAGCAACGCCAATTCTTTAAATCATGGCATTTAATCTGTTATTACTACATTTAACATAGATTGTTAAACTGACTGGTACATCCTATGAACTCTATCATCTTTCTATCTGAGTGAATGAGACTTTTGAATAACAAATGCTTGGACTATCATTATAAAGAAAAATTTGATACTTTTAACATACCACTAAGATCTTCCCTTAGTTCGTAAGCACAATTATACCATATTGTAATTAGATAATACATTAATTTTGTTGAAATTAATCAAAAATTACTTTACAGATGACACAGGAATGAAAATTATTGTGGATGATAGTCTATAACATACATAGAGGGTTGTGTGTTTCCAGCAATACTAGAACTTTTATAATGGCAAGAACATTGCCAATCTAGACAAATATTTGTCATCAATCTGAACTTACTGTAACAGAATGAATAAAATTAAAATTTGGCAGGAAGTAAAATAGTTTGTACGGTGACAACTTAGAAGAAATTAGGGCAACTCTGCACGTAAGACATAAAAATTGAGAGGTAATTTTCCTCACCAAGAGCAATCACAATGTTTTTTCAACCATTGTTGTGTAAAGTAGGTTGCATGAATTATTTTCAGAAAATCATTTTGTTATATTTTACCACTATCTTATTCCTTCTAATTTCTTATAAAGGAAATGGTTCTGCTAAATAATTTCCCATGTAAAGTTAGGAATTTCAATTTAATCCTTGAAAAAGATGTCAAAGAAGAAACTAAATTTAATTCACAATCTGTTATTAGGAAGAAGAGGATGACAAGTAGTTAACATTTCTCCTAAGATTAAGAACCTTGAAGCTGTAGAGCTGTTAGAGCATGTACCATAATGATTTCCGATTTATTGAAAAGCATTGCATAATTTTGCAAACTAAAAATTTTGTGGTTCATTTTCTTTTCTGAAGCTAAAATTGTGTTAGCTACAGTTCTGTCATTAACATCAAGATTTACCCATCACAGCAACTTCCTGAGTCTACTTTTATATATATTCTATTACATTTAACTTTAATATGCTTGCATTGAATATATTTGGTTCCAATAAACTGGTTACCATTATTTGGCTTTCTTGAGAATGCTCCAGTTACATTAAATCTAGGAACCTACTGAACAAAATTCTTGGTTTCACTAGATATATAAATGACATTTAGAAATATGTATGTTTTTGGAGACAGGAACATTCCACCACAGCCCTTCAAAGAAAATGACAAGAATATAGAAACAACTTCACTGTACTAGAGTGTTTCACTTTGAATTTGAGTGCTAGGTAGTTCAACTCCCATTCTACCAGAATAAATATTATGAGAAAAAGATCAAAAGAACTGAATTTTATCAAGACTTTGGAATCCAATTTCTTGGGTAAGTCTTTAATATATTTATGTTAAAAGAAATGCCCAGTCATTTTCATCTCCTTACAAGATTGTTTAAGAATGATTTCATCCCAGGTGCTAACTTCTCAAAAAAAGTCCATCAGTTAATGGAGGCCAAAAAGTCTTGATTTTTTTAAAATGAGAAAATAAAAATAAAATACACATGTGCTGGTAAAGATTGCTTTGACTTATACCTGAGAATTCAGCTTATTCAACTGGGATTGAGAAGTTTGATTAATTTGTTGTAGCTCTTCCTTTTCTTGATTAAGTCTTTCTCGGTCTGATCGCTCCTTTTTGAAGTCTTCTTCATATATTTGCACCTAGGAAATAGTAACTTGCTGTTACTGTTAGTTTCCTTTTCTCTTAAGCCATTTAAATGATTTCAGAAGGGGTGCTATCTGGGTCTGTCCAGTCTGAAACATTCCTAACCTCTTTTCATGAATATTTCTTCATGGTAGGACTCCATCTTGATACATAGGACTATAATTTTATCT